CGTACTGTGCAGGATCAAAGTCTAGCCACCAAACACTTCTGGCAACGTTCCAGGACTTCCGAGCCCCCCAAGGGTTGTCTCAGTGACTCTGCACATCAGGAATGCTGTGCTGAGTTCCCACAGTGATACACCTACACTGCTCTCTATAATCCATTGCACACTTTTGGATTCCACTCTATCTTGAAGTCTGGGAAATTTTCTCCATGAATGAGGCAGCTAATCCTGCTTGGGAAGCTGGAGATGCAGGGAAGTTTTATGGGTCTCGTTGCATGGGGGATTATTTTGACAGGATTCTGTTTTGCTTAAAGCAGTAGCCTGTGCTCAGCCCTGACATAAACAGATGAAATCCTGTGGGTCTTCAAGCAGTCATACCTGCCATAACCAAAATTTAAAGGTTTTTTTGAAAATATACAAATTCTACTGAATTCAATATAAAAATGGAGATTCCCATGGAGATCCCACAGGCCCTGGCAGGGGTCTCAAGACCTCCTTGTTGTGCAAGTCCCTGTGGTGTCACCACTCTGTCTACCTGCATCAGCCATGGCTGGGGGCATCCCCTTGCGGATCCTCACCTGGTGTTGCCTTCTCCCACATCTGGGAAGAAGGCAGGCTCTTATGGATTTTCCTTTCCTACATTTTCCAAGTGAAGTAGGTGACTTGGTGGGCTGGGAAGTTCTTTTCCTGCTAATGTAAAGAGAGAAATCTCCTGGGGAGAGGGCAAGGGGAATAAAAGGTTGCTTTTTTCCTCATTGCCTTTCTTTCCCAAGATTTTTGGAGTGGAGTGGCAGCCCTTCAGCAGAAGCCAGTATGTGGTGAGGGACAGCCTGCTGCAGTCAGTCCTGGCAGAGGAAAGCCACGTGGTGGCTCCAGCCCTGAGATCCCGCTCCGGCATCAAAATCAGTTCAAGGTGAAGGATGATCCCAACCCCTGGCTGTGGAGGGTGGAAATCACAAAACTTCCCATTGACTGTTTCTCCCTTCACAGGCAGCAGCTCCAGCTGGTGTCTCCTGCAGTGCCTGGGCTGGCAGAGGCATCTGGACAAAGCCTTGAGAATGTGCTGGCTGGCACAGGGGCACAGCCCCAGCCCCTGGGCATGGCCAGCCTGCCCTTCAGGAGGGTCTGCACGCACTGCCCGTCGGTCAGTGATGCTGCTGAGCCCCAAAACTCCCCCTCAAGCTGGGCACTCATGGGGTTTGGGGTTAAACCCCAGTGGTGCTTTTGGAGGGACTGCTTTGGTGCAAATGTTACCCTGTGATAACATGGGAAAAGAGGCTAAATCCCCCCCTAACAAACCTCACCTTTGCAGCTGAGAGCCTTCCTGAAGGCGTTTGACAGGCAGAGAGTCAGAACAGACACCTCGAGGGTGGCGACAGCCTGGCAGTTCCAGAGGTTCATCCAGATGCTGCGCAGCGCCAAGAAGAGGGATGTGCTGCAGCTGCTGAGGAGAGCCCCCGAGGAGGCACGGTGAGAACCCCTGGAGCTGTGTCTCCAAAATTCCGAGAGCTGGACAAGACAGACGGGGATGGTTGCTGCTGCTCCATGGCAGGTTCTCCATCCTGGCTAGTGGCAGTGCTCTCTGGCTTCTCCTAATGCCTGTCCTGTCCAAGCACTGCAGGGTTTTGTGGGCTGTGCCTCTGCTGACTTCCCTCCTCCTGCTCCAGCCCCTTCCTGGTGGAGGCAGCGGTGGCCACACAATCGGTGGCTTCCTTGGCAGCGCTCTCAGATTTCCTGGATTTCAGCCAGGAGCCCAAATCCATCCTGGAGAAGTTTCTCTATGCAGCAGCTTTCTCTCCCCAGCCTTCAGGAGAGCTTCTCCAGTTCGTCCTGGTGAGTATGGGCATCTCCCTCTCTTCCCCATCCTGGGATGGATCCACCATGGAACAAGGGAAACCTTTCTGTAGAAATTGATTTTCCTGCTCTTGAGATTGTTTCAAGTGCATTTAACGGGATGGGAGTAGATGCTCCCCAGAGGAAAAGAATCCAGCAGAAGATGCTTTGTATCAGTGCATTAAAGATAATAAAATCACAATTTAGAGCCACAGCATTTTATCCAATTAAACCATGCATGACCTCCTTCAAGGCAGGTAAGAACTAGTTTTCCCTGACTGTGGAAACTGTGGAAATCCACAAAATTAGAGGGTTTTGGGGAAGCTGCAAAAGGCAGGCCCCAGAGGCAGTAGAACTGTGATTAGAGCTAAGCAGCAGCCATGAGATTGGTCAGCAGAAAAATTATTGAAACTGTAGAAATGCAAGGACAAACAGAACAATGGTCTGTGTATTAACACTTGTCTGGAATAACTCTCTAAGCTACAGAAAAGTTTATCTAGCAGGATATTAGGAAGTTTGAAGCTTAATAATGGAGCTTTGTGCATTGTGTTTTAAGGCTTACAAGCAGGTATTGTATTTGAAATAAGCAAGCATAGTTTTAACCAAAAGATACATATCCTTATAGTGGTTGGATAGAACTATTGTCAGTATGCTTTTGCTTTGTGTGATTGGTCAAAAAACTTACTTTGTAAGTTGTAACATTAAGTTCTTGGTCTGCTGCCTGGGATGTGAGCTGCTGGCATCTTCCCATTGTCACAACCATGTAATGAGACTGATGCTGGAAAATAAAACAGCTCAAGGCATGTTCCACAGCAGCCCCATCCTGTTCGTAATGTGTACACAGCCCCCAGCCAGTGACACCTGACTTGCTTTTGAGATAAGAGGTAAAGCATACTCCTTCTCTTTTCTTTTTATTTCCCTAATTTATTTTTTACCTGCTTCCTGTTATGCTTTTCCTGATGCCCAGGACAAGCTGGATGGGAAGCAGCTGGCACCTGAGATCTGGGAGACAGGAATAGTTGCTGTGGGCTCTCTGGTGGGCAAGCTGTGCCAGCAGAAGCTCTGTGGGCTGCAGGTGGGTCCTCTGCAGTCCCTCACACTTGGGTTTTTGGGACACCCCCGAATTCCAGGGGTGCCCAGAATATCTCCTGTCCCTCACCTCCCTCTCCTCCTGCAAATCCCNCGCCATGCACCGCCATCACCGTGCCGCTGCGCATCGCCGCCGCTGCGCTGGTGTGTTTGCCGCGGGAAAGCGCTTCCATCCCCCCTTCTTTCCTCCTTGGACCACCCCCTTCCGACTCCGCCACTTCTGAGTCGGAGCCTGAAGTCCCCGTACTCTCTGGGGTTTCAGGACGTTTTAGGGATCTCTTGGGCTTTCTAGATGGTGGGATAGGAGGCAACAACATTGCTTCCTGCTCCCATTCCCCGAGAGCCTTTTCCCCCTGGCTAACTGGGGCCAGAGCCAATTTCTGTCTAGAATCTTGCTCTGCTCCCGCTGCCTCTGAGGGACCCGCAAAATTCTGTTGCCTTTCCAGTCTTTTTGACTGCACTGAGATACCTTCTAACATAATTCTTGCCGGAGACAGCAATTTTAAAGCTGTCTCGTCTTTTATCGTAGCTAAAAGATAGAGGTGCCTATTAATTTCTTGCCAAAATCCCACTTCAAACAACAGACGCGTCTCTGAAAATGGGTAATTAAGTCTCACCCAGAATAAAAGCTCTTTAAGCTCTTTCTTTGGGATCCCGGCTGTGTATGTTTCTGCCACGCCTTGTAAGGCGGACAAAATCTTCAGCTGTTCTTGAGAGAGTGTGCCCCCCATGTTCTTAATTTTTGACCTTCTCACCGAATCTCTGTTGTCAGAGCAGTCCAAAGGCTCCCGATCTCCATCCATCAGGTCACAGGAGATGGATCCAGAGGGGCCTTTCTGGTTCCGATCCGGGCTGTTCTGCTACAAACCTTCTTCGGCAGAAGCTGAGAGGTGTAATTCTCAGTGACTGCTGGTTTTTTCAGACTCTCTCAGCCGTTTTCTGGTTTCTCTCCCAAGGAGTTATCAGTGCTCTCCTGGGAATTCGTCCAAGTCAGGAGCTGCCCTCTCTTGGCTCTTCAGGGCTAATACCCCCCCTTGGTGGGAGTAGCCCACGCAGCGGATGCCAGTTGCCTTGTCTCGGCTGTGTAATGGCCTGTAAAGGCTCTGGATGGCCTTGGGGCAGCCCACGCTCTAAAGGACGAAAGGAGTCTTCGGGTTTTTCAGTTCTTCAGAGTTGTTTATTAATTCTTATCTACAATATTTTCTCCCGGCCTGACAGAGGTCCGCACAGCAAGCCAGCCATGAGCACACTGACTGCCCTCAGGGCGGCCGCTTATCTTTATACCAAAAACTACGTGTAAGATATTTACCTTTTCTCCCCAATACCTTTCACCCTTATTGACAAGTGCACATTCAGTAAGAACCAATCTCAAAGTGCCACCATCACCATCGAAGATGGATGACAAGAAGAAGAAGAAGAAGAAGAAGAAGAAGAAGAAGAAGAAGAAGAAGAAGAAGAGGAGGACACGCCCTAATTCCTCCATCTTGTCCTCTAGAACCCCCCTGTACTGAGATTCCAAAACCTGTGTTTCACACTATAATTAATCTATCCTTTCACCACTTATCCCCATGTGATCCTCCCATCCTCATACAGCTGTTACGTACTGTGCAGGATCAAAGTCTAGCCACCAAACACTTCTGGCAACGTTCCAGGACTTCCGAGCCCCCCAAGGGTTGTCTCAGTGACTCTGCACA